AAGAAACGCAAAAATGCCCAAAAACCAAAAAATCCTCCCCCCCCCCCCCCCCCCAACGAAACTATCGAATTATTTAGCAAGAATATCCTTTATGCTGGTAACGCTTTCAGGAGCGCTGACTGGACGTAGAGAAGATAAATAAACCTTACTGGAGATCTGGTCGTTGATTGGCGGGAAATGAGCCTCGGATTTCCCTTGGGTCCAGTAACAACTTCCGGTCTATTGCTGACCAGCCGGCAGCAGCTGAGAAGCGAGTGGAATCTATTAAGTCACCCCTCCTTCCTGCAACTGGCCACAGTCCACCCTTATTACGAACAGTTTACGACGTAAGTCTCTTTCGTTGAATTAACGGATCTACGTATGTAAGCCCCTTAGACAACGTCGTTATACCGCGTAAGTTACAATTGCTCTCATAATGTGCCCCACACCGGAAGTAGAATTAGCGACAGCTTAGCGCCGCTACTCGATTTAATGAGAGTGTTAAAATTTTCCCAAAAGGCACAAGAACTCTTGCGTTGAATGAACAATGACTTCCAAGTGAAAACATTTAATTATCTGCATTAAATATATTTTCCATAGTGAGATTTCTGAAGACCACTTCTATGGTCTAGTGGTCAGAATTCCTGGCTGCAGATTCAGAGTTCCGGGTTCGATTCTCGGCGCTAACAGATTTTCTTAGAAGTAGTGGGTCTGGAACGGGATCCACTCAGCCTCGTAAAGATAACTGAGGAGCTATTTCAAGGAAATAGAGGCTCCGGTCTAGAAATCAAAATTAACGGCCGTGGGGATTCGTTGCGCTGACCACGCAGCACCCTCTATTCGCTAAAGTTGGCACTAACTTCGCCGACAAGTGGCGGTCGCTCGGTCGGTATAGTTCGCTTGCGGACTAGAACCATGGAGTTGTGTTTGTTTTTTATATTTCTGAATTTCTAGAATCACCACGGAAAGAAAGTTGAGGAAAGACTCAGGTGGAATTAAATTAAGTTGTCTTTATGTTTCGAAGTTTAGAACAATAAGATTAGAATTTTATTTCGAACCACATGTTAATTGAGAAGAAAAGCGTATTAATTCACGACTAACACTGTATAGGTACATTTAATATTAAAATTTAAATCTTTGAAAGGAATTCCTAAACTTTATAATTCCATTTAGTTTTCCAAAATAAATGACCCGACATAAGTGACAATTTATTTATTTAAATTAAAGATTATGTAGACCAAACTGCGAGAGTGGCAAAAGAGAAGACATACTTCCTGAACACACTATACTCCTGAGCACGTCATTTCGTCCATCCGGTAGCACTTGGCTGCATTTACTTGGTCAGTTCATGCCTCTGAGCCACCAAGCAACCGATAAGAGCTAGACAGAATTGAATCGAAACGACTCCACGAAGAAGCAAAAGAAGAAGAGAAGTTTGAGGGTGAAAATAGGTTCCTTGATTACAACAGGAAGGAAAGAAATAAATTGCTTAGTGTGAGAGTCCGAGAGAACAAAATCACTTTCCGCAGCGATAAGAGAAGTGGAGGAAAGAGGAAGCCTTATAAACGAATAAGCCGATATACCTTACTTCTGTGTGGAAATCAGCTTCGGTAGGTTTGGCTGCAGGGGCCACATGCATTCACAGTTTTAATTGAGATGAACGGACGCTTGTGTGCCAAGTACATACAGTCACTACAAAACACACACAGTAGACGGAACATGAAAGTGGGGTATCTTTCAAGAAAATGCTCTCTATCCATAAATGTGTTCGGATATCCTCACCAAAAGCATTTATGCGAAACGTACATGGATGAGAAAAGTTAAGGATAACATTTCTTTGGCCTTTAATTCAGAAATTATAGTTTTAATTGTACGACGTAATAATAGAACGCGTCACTGGGCATATGGGTTCCGAGTTTAGTGTCTGAATTCTTTTTTGGGGCGAGAGATAGTCGTAACGATGATTTTGGTAAGCTCATTACTACTTCAATAGCAGTGGTTACTGTACAGGGTGGCCCCAAGCCAGTTAACTGGTTAGTAAAATGTACATTAAAAAACGTTACAAACGTCGTAAGCATGTACTGAATTTATAAAAATTGTTCGAAATGAGGTCGTCCATGTTCAGTGCAAAACTCACAACATTTCCATTAATACGAAAGAATATTTTAGGCTGACCCACTTTTGGGCCACTCTTCAACGCCAATAATTCCTCATTTTTTCCACAGAATATATTTTTGGGTTTTGAATGATTCTCAAAGTAAGTAGCGATTATTTCCCTATACAAATAGCATTAACCATTTAGCCTTAATCAAAATGAAGTGTGTTTTCTGTAGTGAAGGTTTTGAAGTTTTAAATATTACTTAGATGACAATTATACTCCAGAGGGTTTCTTGGTTAGTTTTACGTCTCTGCGGATGTAACTCAAAAGTGATTTCTGACACAGGTAAGAATACTCTCTTCGCTTACAATGAAGACCTTATTTCTGTTCATTCAGCAGTTTTATCGAGCTCTCTCCATATTGACTTTAGATTTACCACAAATCCGATAACTAACATGATGTACTTCTGCGCTCAAGAATCCTATATCACTCCGGCCCAGCAAACCCAAGTTCCTGATCCTCGTGATCCTATAGGCTTCAGGAGTCTGCTCTTTTACCCCAGACACGAATTCAATTTGCGGATTTATTACTAACCAAAGCCTGTAGCGTTATGTGTGTAAAGGTCGGTGCTCAGTGCAGCCTGCATATAAAGACACGAAAATTCAGCAATTACTCTGTAAAGCCCTGACATTGAAACATGTCTTATTCTGGTGAGCTTAGTAGCATTCCTCTTCTTAACATTTATTTCTTCCTCAAATAAAGAACAGATTAATATTTCATCAGTACTGAACACCATATGTGCCTACTTTATGGCATTAATAATGCATAAAATTATAAAAGTATAATAGATCTATGACACATTCTTTACCATTACAATACACGTTCATTATTAAATTAGGCCGACATATAAATAGAGGGTTCATCCCATGGGGTCGGTTCACATCATGTAAAAAGTAAAGTAAAAAAGTAAAGGTATCCCTGTAACAGGCCGTGGAGGTCCATAGGGTTGTGAGATGTTGAGGGTCCCACATTTTCTAGACAATCGGCTCAAAGATGGCGGTAAGGTTGTCAGCCTTACTCGCCGGCCAGCCGCCCTTTGCCCCCAGGAAGATTCCTGGTTCTCACTTCAGTTAGAAGCTGATTCGACCCCAGGGCCATAGTGCGGCTGGAAGGATTACGTAAATTTAAAAAATCCAATGACCTCATCAGGACTTGAACCCGCGACCTTCCAGCTTGTAGCACAGTGCCTCAACCAACTACGCTACCGCGTGCCCCCGGTTCACATCATGTTGCCTACAAAATTATTGTACATAATTTTAAAACACTGCAAATTTTTCTTCATAATTACTCACTCATGCAGTTGAATCCTTCTTGAGAAGCCGCCAATTCTGCAGCTACTCAAGAAATTCCCAAAGTTTTATGGAACCCGAAGGTTCATTACCGTCTTCACAAGAGCCCTCCACTGGTCTCTATCCTGAGCTAGATGAACCAGATCCATACCATCCCATCCTATCGAAGATATATTTCAATACTGTCCACGCACCCACGTCCTTTCCTATTGGTATCTTTCCTTCTGGCTTTCCCACCAATATCCCATATGCATTCCTCTTCTCCCTCATTCGTGCCACATGTCCTGCCCAACTCATCCTCCTTGACTTGATCATTCTACTTATGCCTGCCTTCATAATAGACACAAACTTACTAATTGACAGGGCTATTTCTCAACATTATACCCCAACACTTTAACTACCCATCCTATTATTATTATGATTATTATATCATCATGCTCTTATTTCACTTCTATCTCCCCTATCTGCCGTATATCCATCACTTGAATGCGTTACAGCGACACAAGGAAATGATACCCCAATTCCAGCCGTATCAGCGTTTTTTCTTGGATAGTGAACATATTTGACATTATGAATGACACAACGGCATGGCTCCCAATGCACTTTTATAATTCTATTTTGAAAATCCATATTTTATGGAGACTATGTAAAGGCAAATGTACCCCACGCTATTAAAATACATGTGTATGCTTGGACTGTAAGTATGTAATGTACAGGATGATTCTCTCCTTAGGAAACCAAAACATTCTTCAATAACTTTTTAATTTTTGTATGGTTCTCTATGAAAATTGACATGTACTTACGTACATCCTGCACCGTGCGATAACACATTTTCCGGCCTCCAGCGTGCCTAGTCAAAACACTTTGATTGTCTCTAATTTTTTACCATTGTTTAAATCGGCCCGTTCTTCAGTTTTCACAAACAGTAAACACACGCTGTTCAGCTGAGTACATGTTTGCGGCACACAAAATCGCTCTACACTGAGCCAAAGGCCTGTTCGGCGGTCACGTCTCGACGTCATGGGTATAGTCCAATTCGTTAAGGGGTATGATGGTTCTACTTCGATAGACGTAAGTTTCATACATGTCACTTTTCATAGGGATCCATACAAAAATTAAAAATTATTAAGGAATATTTTGGTTTCCTAATGAGAGAATCACACTGTATGTATGTACCTGAAGAAATGAACATTTTTGTTTCCTTTAAACTCGAATTGAATACTAAAAATCTATATTGCTGCAGTACAGGATCCTTAACAAATCCGCATAGAGTCTGCGTACCTACACAGACACATAGTAAATACCGTATCGTAGCTTCATGTTGTGTTGTGCTTCCAACTGTATTCATATGCGACAACACAACTTCTGTGTAGATGCACTATACATCAATTATCTATTGCATGTTTAGGCCCCTCGGCCATCATCACGTGATCATGTGTGCGCAATTTCTGTTGACTATGGGCCAGCAATGTGCACAGAAGTTGTGCCGAAGAAAATACAATATGGGACCCGTTATCCCGAAAAATCGGAACAATGAGATTCCCAGATTTTTTAATTTTCTGAGTACCTTAGCCAAAAATAACTAGCGTAAATTAAAAAAATATTAAGAAGAATTATTAACATTTGCTTTACCTAATAAAAACTTGAAGTTGAACAACGTGAGCTAGAATTATCACTTTTTTCAGCACAATAATATTTAATCGTTTAAACGTGTCTTGGAAAGTTAATAGTTTTATGCACTTAAGCGTTTTAGCCTATTTTCCTTGTTTTGAAAACATATAATTAGGCTTACGAGACCACCTTGCTGTCTGTGAGTCTGTGTATCCTCCCATCAACTCTGGAATCTTTAACCAATCTTTAAGAAATTTGGTATGGCACCTTAGTGTATCTCAACAGCGTACTTCATAAATCCCACCCATCACTCTCTGTTTCTATATGTTTATCCCCCCTATCGTTGACATTAAGGGAGGAACATAGACTGAGGGTGTTTGAGAAGAAGGTGCTCAGGAGAATATTTGGACCGAAGAGGAATTTAATAATAGTAGATTGGAAAACAACTACGTAATGAGGAGCCCCATTCCTTGTACTCTTCACCAAGTATAATTAGAATGATCAAGTGAAGGAGAATGAGATGGGCATGATGTGTAGCACGAATGGGTGAGAAGAGGAATGCATATAGGATATTGGTGGGAAAGCCAGAAGGAAAGTGACCATTAGGAAGACCAAGACGTAGGTAGGTGGACAATATTAAATGGATCTTAGAGAGATAGGATGGGATGGTATGGACTGAATTGATCTGGCTTAGGGTAGGGACCAGAGGAGGGCTCTTGTGAATACGGTAATGAACCTTTGGGTTCCATAAAATGCTGGTAAGTTCTTGGGTAGCTGCACAATTGGCGGCTTCTCAAGAAGGGCTCAGCTCAAGGAGTGAGTGAGAGATCGTTGCTAGCAATTTCTCGGTAAACATGTTCCTGCGGCAACGAAGAACTCTTGGAGGCGTCGCTTTATATGCGTTTCTTGTCGTATCAAAGGAAAATAGGAGATTCTTTTTCCAGAACTACTTGATTTTGTTGCTTTTTAAAGTTTTTGTTTTTTATATATCCACATATCAGAAACAGTACTTTTTTTGTTCCAGTCCCTTAATCAGTTTCTCGGTTAAACTAATGCACTGTCAACTGAAATGAGTTATCTGTTGATCTCATCCTTATTAGTGTGAATTCCCTTGCGAACTGTTACACTGTCTGTGAGTTGCAGAACAACAGGAGCATCTTTGTTTACATTTAATCGTCCCTCTGTAACTTCTTCATGCAACGTCTTCTCGTCATACGTCACGAGGAAAACCTTCCGGATTTCAGGTACTTTCGGACTCTGGTGTTCCGAATAAGGGGTCCCATACTGTAGAAACTTACAGTATTTATGTAATGTACAGGCCTACATTCATGGACCTGGAAGGGAACTTTCAGTATCAGTTACTATGAAGAGGAACATGGCATATTCAACATGCTCATACTTAAATATGCGCACAACTGATACCACAATTTTGAGAAATGTTCTTCTCCGATGAATACTTCAGACTGAGAGCAAAAGTATTAGAGACATAGATTGACACATCAATGGATTTAAGACGAGTTATCAGTCTATAGTTACCAAGGAAAAACTTAAAAATGCTAATCTGCATACAGGTTCCAAAACATGTCGAATAAGTGGAAGAATTCTGTGGTCTAGTGGTCAGAGTTCCTGGCTATAGATCCAGAATTCCGGGTTCGATTCTCTGCGCTATCAGATTTTCTGAGAAGTAGACGGAACGGGGTTCAATCAGCCTCGTGAGGATAACTGAGGAGCTATTTCAAGTAAATAGCGGCTCCGGTCTAGAAAACAGAAATTGACGTCAGTGGAGATCTGTTGCGCTGACAACGCTAAAGTTGGTACTAACGTCGCCGATAAGCGGCGGTCGCTCGGTCGGTATGGTTCAATTGCAGACTACAGGCCACGGAGTTTATTTTGTTATTAACTACGCCTTTATTGTTCCCAGTACTCACAGACATTATAAAAACTAAGTATATGTCCATTTATGTATATTTAAAACTTGTTCAGTACACACTTAATCTCGTGTGTAGTAGAGCACTGCATTAACAGAACACACCAAATCTTATTTAGGAGTAATTTAATCTAAATTCATTCAACACTTCCTTTGATTTTTGAAATAGGAAGATGACTTATCTGTTTTATAGAATAAACAGTTGGGTAGTCTTTAGATATGTTTGGAAGCCCATTGTTGGCTGCTGAATATGTACGTTAGGAAATACACGCTTAGCATAACAATTCATGTCTAAATTTCTCCAAACCCGGAAAAAGTGTATTGCACAAAATTATGCTTCATTTTTGCCACACTATTTTTCGCTTGGACAAATATTTTAGGACTTATTCTCGAGATGTGGGCATAGTTCGCTTTCGGACTACAGGTCACGGAGTTTGTTTTTGTTCGTTGGCAGAAACTAGTGTAGTTACTGTCCTATTTTTAAGAAAATGGAATTTTATGAATACATTATAGTACAGCTTCCTAATATCAAATTTCGTGAAAATCCATTCAATAATTCTCGAGATGTTTCTGCATACAGACAAGGAGATTGAGTCGCGGATGGAGGGGAGGAGAGAGCGATTTTAATAGGCGCTACACAGGGGTTCGAAAACGGCTAAACTTGTTACTGTAAGCATAAGGGTATCTTTGTAGTTGAATTCTCATATCAGCGTAACGTGCCTTAACCATCTCCCGAACATTATAAACAAGCAAGGAAGTGGGCAAATGCACAAGATCATGCGTGAGCTGCGAACAACAAAACTTTTAAATAATATACTGAACTAAGATATTCATAATCTACTGTATCAACTTTTAGAGTTCTTTGAAATCATGTGCATATGAATCGTGAAGTCTGTATTCCAATGAGGTAAAATATATTTGTATTTCCTTTCCGTCTTTTCTGATGTTCTGAGATTGCTGTGTCACTCTGAAGCAACCTCATGACACTCATCGCATCAGTAGCTGGTCGCTGTGTGCCCTTTCACATGCTTCATTCCTCTATATCAGCCGATCTTCCTGATACCTAATTTCCATCTCCGACCCTTGCACCCAGCAGCTGTAGGCCATAGGACATTACGAACCCCCGGGAAAGCTCTCTCCAAATCCATGATATGAGCGGCTGGGCTCCATCCCTAAAGCAAGCAGCAATAATGATTCTCTGTATGAAAGGCCCCCCGTTCCCTCTGCCCTCCTATTCAACATTTGACTTTCAGATGCGCCGACGCCCCGCCGAGCGCCGTAATACCGCGTAGAGCTCGCGCCTTGGTTCGGGAAGTGGAGGGGTGGCGTTCGGATAGTGGGGGCAAAACTCCAAGCCCCCCAAATCCCACTTGTCTGCTGCCACTTGACACCGAAGCATCCTGTGTGATATATTATTGTTTAAATAACATTAAAACCCCTTTCCGCTAAGCTTAGTGTCACTGCGGGAGGCTCGGCGATATTGTTTTCTTGATTACGGAGACCGGAAGATCGTTTTAAACTTCGAAGCGACATGGGTAAGACGAGGACCATGGCGCAGAGTCTCGGAAAGGTTTTAACTGATGGAAATAGGAGGAGCGGGATTTGCGATGAAGTTTCTTGCAAGAAGAAGAGATTTCCATTCCAAGGAGGAAAACAGAGATAGAAAGAGAAGAAGAAGAGACTATTGTTGATCTTTATGGCATCCACGTGACTCAGATCTCGACCAATAGTAGAGCTAGGAAAGGAAGGAAGTATTTTTCTGGTCGTCGGAAGGATGTGGCTTGTGCTACGGATGGGGAAGATTCTCGCTTCTCCGAAGACGCCATCAAAGTCTGAACCTTTATGTTCGCGCAGTCGGTTCGCCGCGGGCAAGAAAGCGTAGACGGGAGACTTGGTGAGAGCTGGGGGACGGCTCACGAAATTTCATGCTGCAGAGAGAGAAAGAAAAACTACAGCGAAGGAAATTGAATAAATGTCAGATGTCGTTAAAATGCTGCAGTAATTTAGTGAAAAGAAATGTAATTAGATTTTATATTCATTGTTAAATATACAGCTGCCAATACTGGGCTGTAAGTTGCTGCTGTTTCAATATCCGGTGGAAGGAGATGGAGCGAATTTCTATTGCTTCAGCATCTCGTGAAGTACCGCTCTGTGAAGTTTACATCCTCATAACTTAAAGAACTCAGACTTTTTCACGTCTAAACGTGAGACGTAAGACAGCTACTGTACCTACACTCCACCCACACCAAGTCAGTACTAGGATAGGAACCGACAGTAAAATGAGCAGAAGGTAAAAGTTTGGGGGGAGGGGTGAATTTTTCAAGATTTTTAAAAGCAAATTATATTGAACATATATAACTTTTACCGTCAACGCAACAACACTTTAGTATTTATTTATATAGCACGCACTACATGTTTCGACCACAAATGGGTCATCTTCAGGTGCTGC